AGCTGGGTTCCAAGTTTTTTGGAGGGAGGTATAGATACTTGGGAAAGGTAAGGGAAGAAACAGCAGAGGGAGAGAATGGGTCCCTGAGAAAACACTCTTCTTTGGAAGAGGTTCAACTGCTCCATCAAAAGAACAGGTACAAATGTCTGAGTAAGCCATTGGGACATCAGTATTAGATCTTGATACCTCAGGGAAGTCAAGGCCAACCCCAGAAACCAGTTGATTTAGGCGTCCCCTAGAGCAGTCTCTTTGGGTCCCAGTGAGAAAGTGAGAACTTTTCTGAATCTGCAGAGGCCCCCAAGGAAAGATTTGTCACGGTCTAGTTGATTTGGAGACTCCTGCTGGGTTCATTTTGAGCTTCCCAACCTTGCTCATTGTTATTTTCTTCTCCTGTTTCCTGTTTCCTCTTTCAGATAATTGAGCACTCTTTAAGCTCAGAAAACATCTGAGTTAAAATCTATGCATTTTGCTCCCTCAACCAAATATTTATTTTTACTAGCAATTATTTACATATTAATGATATGAAAAGTAATTAATGTAAAACCGTAAAGCAAGCTTGAAGGCACCTTTGTTAGATGGAGGTTCCTAAAGAAGACACCTGAGAAAACTCTTCATGATAGCCTGATGGCAGCTTCACTGAGTGCCTGCAGGAGCCCCCTGGGGCCATCAGCGGGCAAGGCCAAGAGTTAGTCCTGGGACACAGGGTTGGCCACATTAACGGTGTCTGAGACCTACAGTCCCCAGTAAAATAGTCAAGACATTCGATATCAGACCTCTCGGCCCGGTCCTCTGATTTTCTCTTGTTTCTCTCCGCTTTTCTTTCTCTGTCTTTTTACTCTACTTTATGGAGGACTTTCTCAACTTTATATTCCAGTCAGATTTGTCTATTTCTCCATTTAGTCTGTGAATTTTTGCTTCATTTTGAAATTCTGTTATTCGATATATTTGTATTTAGAATTGGTGTGTCCTTTTGTGGGAGCTTTTTATCACTGCGAAATGATCCTCTTTATCTCTGTTAATATTCCTTGTCTTGAAGTCACTTTTGTCTGATGTTAACTATTACCACACCGGTTTCTTTTTCTCGTTTTTAATTTTTTTAATGAATGTTTTTCTTGTTTTATTAAACTCATAATAGTGTGATTCTTATAGCATTTCTAAAGGCAGCACATGTTGCTGCAGCACAGATTTTAAAAACCCTATGAAGCCATTTTCCATTATTTCTTTTTAAAGTAACTTTGAGGCATAACTGACATTCAGTAAACTATACATATTTTAAAATACACAACTTGATAAGTGTAACACATGTATACACCATCACGGCCATCAAGATAATAAACTTACCTCACCCTCAAAGTTTTCCTAGCACCCCTTTGATGCTGACCTTTGACTCAGCCTTGAACTCTGACCTCTCCAGGATTCCTCAGCTCCATTAGACTGCAGCTTTCTGCTTAAACTATATTCTTGTCCTGCATGGAGCTGCTCACAAGGGAAAGGCCAGTTAAAACTGGATCTCACCTAGTCTCACCTTTTTTCAAGGGTCATATCTGCTTCAGTCTTTGCCTGATACTCATTGCTCTTGAGTACTTTCAAACCATTGTTTTTCATATCTTATCCAGAGTTTATCACTGTTATTGGTTAGAGGGTTAGTCCAATATAAATTAGCCCACTATTACAGGAAGCAGAGTGCCTCAATCCTTCCATGGGCTCCCCTCCACCCCCACTTGCTTCTCTCAAAACGTTTTAATAGCGTACTATTTGTGTTTCATAGATACTGTTATCTTTTCTTATTTCTCTAAGGATAGTAATGGTAGTGTTTTGTTTGTTTTTTAAGTTTCCTTCCCCATGAATAGTCTTTTTCCTCCACTTTCATTCTTCTCTTTGTTCTTTGTTTTGGTTCCTAATATTTGTGTTAGTGGGTTTTTCCTGGTGACCTTTGGTTTTCTGAAAATGTATAAGAGTAGGAGACTAAAATCAGATTGAAAGCTCCGTGCTGGTGCTTGTGCGTGGAGCCCGTAATGCACTTCACAGTATGATGATTAATTAGGCTGCGCTGTTTGGTGGGTGGTCCAAATGCAAATATCTTTAGGTCTTTTTTCATGGCCTGGTCAGATTCCCCATAGAAGATTCTTCCCATCCACCTTAGTCCCGTTCAGACTGCTCTAACAAAATACTGGGTGACTTATAAACGATAGAAATTTATTTCTCACAGTTACAGAGGCTGGGAAGTCCAAGATCAGGGTGTCAGCATGATTAGGTTCTGCTGAAGGCCCTCTTCCAGGTGCAGACTGCTGACTTCTATCTGTGTCCTCATACGGTGGGAGGGCTGGGGAGCTCTCTGGGCTCTCTTGTATAAGAGTATTCATCCTATTCATGACCTCAACACCTACCAAAGGCCCCACCTCCTAATATCATCACATTGGGTGTTAAGATTTCCACATATGAAATTTAGGGGGACACAAACACTCAGACCAGAGCACCATCTGTTCCCCAGAGGGTAAAGATTTGGCTACCTGTGTTCTGGGAGCTCAATGAGAAGAAGCCCGGAGGTCTCACCCTCCAGTAGGCATTCGTTCACTTGATCCCCTAGTTTTGGAATTGGTCACCCTGCCCTCACCTGTGCTTGGTTCCTGGTGTCCCGTAGACCTGAGAGCCTCTGCTTAGTCCTCTTAAGAGAATAAACATCCAGACTTGGGAGAACCTAGGCAGTTGCCTAGTGGTATGATGTCAGGAGAGCTTGTAGGGGTCCAGCTGCTTCTGAAATAGCCTTCAACTAATCTCCTGTGCTCCAGTTTCCCTCCCCTGCTTCCAGAGGTACCTAGTGACAGTTCCTGAGCCCTTTGAGGATTCTTTGGACAGATTGGGTTCTTGGCTTTTCACACCACCAGCGTCAGGTTTGGCTTTCTTGTGCGCATAAATTGTTATCATTCGCTTCCAGCCTCCACAGTTCTGATGGTGGTTTCCCTGGTAGTCAGGAGGGAGAGAGATTAACTGAGAAGCTGACAGCTGGAAACCTTAAAAAAATAAAAAGGTTGTTTTCATTGCATTGGCTGATTAGAGTACAGAATCTTCAAGTCCATGGATTTCAAGTACTTGTGAATAGTCAGATCAACAGGGATAATTTGTTAAAAAAAAAAAACAAAAAAAAAAACAGAAGTGCTTATGAATCAGGGTTAGTATAGACAAAAGCAGCAAATGTAGATTAATGCATTTCAGAATTTATAAACTAAAAGGGAAATGATTTGGGCTACTTTGTCTAAAAAGGAGACCAGAGAATTGCCCGAGGTCTTCCCCTGGGGCCCTCGGCCAGTGCTCCCGTGCTGGGATCCTCTGTGTCTGGGACCCTGCTTGTTTCAAGGGAATGCAGTGGGGCAGGAGAGCCAAGTAGCAGGAAGTGACGTGAGAGCCTTACAAGGGCAGGTGGTCAGCGCTGGAATGCAGCGCTGGGATTCTGCAGCCCAGAATGCAGACATACACGTACGTGCCTCAATGTAAAGCTATGGCCAGTGTGGAGAGGACAGGTGTGAAACCTGGATGTCAGATACCAAACATCCAAGGAGAGGGTTGCGTTTGAAACTGGAGCAGGTAAGCGGAGCACAAATAGAAGAAAGCACAGTTTTCCATGGCAGACCAGACACTCGGGAAACCATTACAAGTGGCCCTTCTGGCAGATGGCATCATTCCATAGAGTTTTGGACAAACAAATGAATGACAGAGGCCACCCCTGTTCCCCCTCACCCCAAAAAGAGAGAGGCTTCTGAGAGGTAATGACATGTATATAACCCTTAATTTAGACAATGAAGAGGACAATATGCTCTTACTGGGCTGGATGGAGAATGGGCAGCTCAGTATATAGTATGAAACACTTGATCTGAATGGAAAAGACCTGAGTTCAAATTCCAACTCCTCAACTTATTTGCTGTGTGACCTTGAACAATTTCCTAACCATTCTCACCCCGACAAGGTTCTGGTGGAAGTAAAATAAGGCTGTTACATAATCTACAGTAGATTCAATAAAGCAAAGATTAGCCTGAGTCCTACACTGAATTACCTGTTTTTTGTTTTTAATTTAACACGTTATTTGCTGAGCCCTATCAAATACCAGGCTGTGTATATATATATCTCTGCTATTCTAGAAAGGTTCATGAACTGAAGGCGCAGCTCTGCTCCATCCTGCAGACCTTCCTCAGGATGGCGGGAGGCTGTGAAGGTGAGCGTCCCTGTGTCCTCTCCCAGTTGCAGAGCGGCATGCGCGACGGGAGAGAATACCACAGCTGCCTTGGCTGGAGCACCTGATCCCACCTCAGGAAACAACCCCCACTTCCCTCCTAGAGCCATTTTCCTAATAACAAAGCAGAAGCTTTCACAACCTGCTGGGTAATATCTGATAGTGATGACAGCGTTTGCAGACACTTCTGCTTTCGTCTACTTGTTTCTGCTGAAAGTCTGTAGGTGCCCAAGTCTGGGACAGAAGACGGAAGGTCCTTTGGGGGAAATGGACGGGGTGGGAATGAGGGACACTGTGACACTGTGAGTGTTTGAGGTTCATGCCCCTCGTACAGGAAATTGTGTTCCTAGCGTCTGGGTACCCATGTCATCATGATTAGTTGTAGTGACCTCAGATCTGGTTGTGTCTCCTCTGGCCAGCGGTGTTCCCTGTTCCTTAGCATCTGGTCACAGAAGTTCCATGACGTCAGTCTGATAAGCATGTGAGCACTTGCCAGGTGTGCTGCAGCGCCTTGCCAGTGATGACGCAATCTGCCCATCCAAAACCCAGCCCTTAAGATACTTCAGTATCATTCCCATGTTTCCTTGGCCTCAATTAAACTTCCCTTTGGCCTAGCCTCAGACTACATTGTGAGCTTTTATTTGAGCTCATGCCCATGCTCCTTTCCTCAAAGGTTGTGATGTTGTTGATGGGAGGACTGATTCCGGTCTTCCTCTCGCCTTGCCTCCACCGTCGGAACTCGTTGAACTTTGACCCTATTTCTCTCCTTTTCCAGAACTCACATGCTGCGTGTCAGACTGAGCTATTCCCGTTTCATCCTATAATCCAAGACTTGCTACACTGTCCCGCTGATGTTCACGGCCGTGCCTGGCAAGGAGGCAGTCCCATTCCCAGTACATATCAGCGGGAGATCTCCATGTGCGCCCGATGGAGACTTGATGGGGCAGGGGAAGAAACTAGAGGAGTGCACGGCCCGAAAGCAGAGTCTCCACGTGTGGATCAGTGTCTCTTCGCTTTCCTCCCAGAGACATGGCTGTCCCAGCAGGACTTGCCCAGGAATTGAGGGGATGAGGGAGTCATTCCACCCCCGTCCTTCTCCAGCACACCGCACCCTGGGCACAGCAGCTCCTGGAGCAGTGGGGCAGCTGAGAGCTCAGAGCTGCTGCTGCCCTGCATGCGTCAGCCCAGCTCTGTTGTAAGCTGTATGGTTGTGTACAGGAGGGACATGGCATCTTTCTGAATGGATTTTCCCTAACAAACGCGCCAGTGTTGCACTTCACAACATTTCCCCCCATCCTTGCTGTTATTGTCACTGGCTTTTTCTCAATAGGCTTCGTAGTTATTTTTTTTTAATGGGAAAATATCCCTCTTCACCCCCTGCACCCCATATTTGACCCCCACCCCCACCCCCCATACCTCCAAGGTACAGAATTACTTGAGATTCTGACAAAAGATAAGAAAACCATCATTGGGAAGCCTGTGAATTCTTCACATCATCTGCATTTTGTCCTTGATAAGAGGCTGGTAGTCTACTTGGTTCTGCTTGGTCCTGGACAGCTCCCACAGGAGCCAGTGTTACACTGAGCCACATGTGTGTATCACTGTGACACGCCACTTGCACACTGTCCTGTTCCCTTATAGCCAGACCAGCTGAGGAGGAATGACAGCCAGGTTGGGCCTTCAGCAAGTCACCCATCACCGGGTTTACGTTAAGCAGATGGAATCTGTTTGGCCTGGGAGGGTGAAGTCACAGAGCTATGTTTGCAGGTGAGTCTGTGAATAGGACACCATGAGCCCCCACCCTTCTGACCCAAAGGTTTCTGTGAGCACACGTGTCTAGGCCCTGGGAAACCTGCCTGCAACCCCGTTTCCACTGGCTGTGGCTCTTCCCCTCTGCTCTCAGCACCAGCCCTTGCTGGCATCACAGGCTGGCCGCTCTGCAGCTCTGTGCACACAGCTGCAGGGATAGGAATAACTTAATGCCCCATTGGCTCCCTGAGCAGATGAGTCTGGCCACGCCCCTGCTCTCCAGGCTGTAGGACAGGGTCACAGCACCGTGAAAGACAACGGGGGTTTGGCTGGCCTCCCAGCCATCTCGGATCTGCAGCTGGGAGGCAGCTGGATGGCAGATAGTAGGAGCCCCAAGGGGCCAGGAGGTTGCAGAACAGAGTGGCTACAACTAAGTTGACCCCTCCCTACCCTCTACCCTCTCCTCCTGTCCCCAGGCAGAGTGAGTTATCACTATAATGATGATGACACTCTAGATATCTAGATCCTTAGAGCTAGGTTCAGCTCAGCAGAGAATGCGATGGGTGCTGGTTGGAGGCGCTGCTCAGAGCTTGAGCTGCCTTTTCCTTGTCTAGTTTTGCAGTCTCTGTGGCTTCTCTTCTGAGGAGGCGTTGGTTCTCATCTTAGCCTTTTGCGGGGGTGACCCAGGGATGTTGTCACCATTGCCAACTCTTGGAGCTATTCTGGGTCTTGGCTTGGGGCCCCAAGGGTGGGCCTGTGTCAGGTGCTCAGTGAGCCGGGTGGAGGTGGCAGGCATTGTCCTCAGGGTTCCCCACAAAGAAGCCCTTTCAGAAAAGACCCAGGGAGAAGAGGCAACTGGCTGTCTGCATTAAGCGCCACTTGGCGTGTTCTTCTCTAAAGAAAGAGACACGTGAAAGCTGCCTCTCTGTGCCCCTGTCCTGGATTTATTGTTGCACATGGATGTAGAAGGTGGAATAGTTCATTCTTTCACTTTCCTCTCCTAACCCACATAAAATAGTGACTGTTGATTAGAGAAACCGTTACCTGCCCGTGACCTTACTGCCAGCCTCAGTCTCTCTGCCTGTGGCCGGCCTTACCCAGGCCCAGGAGATCCGGAGACGGGGGCCAGGCCAGGTCTGCAGGAAGAACAGGGAGGCCCACCCCCAGTTCCAGGTCACATTTAGCTTTGGGACAAATGCTGCTCATTTTGAGCCACATGTACCAAGAAAGCTCTTCCTCCGCCTTGTAAGAGCTCCTGGCTCTACAGCCCCACCCTCTGACGGAGAGGATGTTGACTAAGACCTTATGCTCTGACTTCACCTCGCAAAGTCCCCCAGCACTCTGATCATTCCAGGGAATGGAGGAAGGACACCAAGGAGCCTCTAACATTCGTCTTTGCCATTCTTGGCACTTGGTGCTGAGAGGGTTTCCCAGACACCCCGTTTCTGGGACCACAGCGTCACCCTTGTGTATGTCAGTGGCGTCTCACTGTTGTGCAATGAGCTTGTGGGTGGAACTTACAGAGTGTGTCTGCATGGCGCATAGCCTGTGCTGAGCCTGGTCTGTGCCCCTTTGGGTGAGGATCCAGAAGCTTTGCAAGTCATCTTCCCTCTCCTTCATCATTGCCCCCCCACACACACACACCCCGATTTCTCAGCAGTGATACGAAAGAGGAGGTTGTTGAGACAGGTTTTTTTAGCATACCTCTCAAGTCCACCTTGCTCACAGCCCAGTTTCTATCAGTCAGCATCCAATCAAGGAAACAGAAACCACTCTAAGAATTACAACCCTGAGTTTTAATCCAGATCATTGTTGAGCACAGTAACAAGAAAAGTTGAGAGGCCAAATCGGGGGGAGGAGGCAACCCAGAGTTGGGGAGTGACAGCAGGAAGGCTGGTTGGACACGGGGGAAAGGCCGCTCTGTGTTACTAGAGCCCCGGGTTGAGGAACCTGGTGCCACACAGCGCCTATCTGGTGGGAGCTGCAGCCGTGAGGATGCCTTGTCCCTGCCAGAAACAATCCCCTAAGCAGAGAGGGGGAGAAAGGCCTGGCTTCCCCCTACCTGTGCCTTCCAGATTTCTGCAGGTGCCTCTTGTTAGCTAAACCCAGCTGGGAGCCCCTGACTGGGGGGCCTGGGACAAGCAGCCTGCAGTGGTCAGCCCCCCACCACTCAGAGCAGAGCAGGGGAGGGCAAGGAGCGGGCCAGAAGGCAGCAGGCCGGGCGTGCATGGCCTTGGTTTGCTGTGTCACGCGGAGCCTGATGTCCATGCCCCATGCCTTCCTGAGCCCCCAGTGAGAGAGGCCGGAGGAGCTGCCCCCCTAGGCTTTTGTAGATTCTCTTTCACTCTGCCTAGAGAGGAAAGTGCTTTTGGGAGGGAGGGAGAAAGCCTTTATTCTTAACCGTTGCCCCTGTTTTCCTTTGGGGGAATTTACCCGTTTAGCAACCCCGCCTCGCCATGCCCCTCAGGAAAGCCATGTCCCAGTTTTCTGTCCACGCCCCCCCGTTGCTCTCCCCCCAGTCTCTGATTCCCTTCCAGAGAACACTGACCCAGACCATGCATCCGTGGTCATGAGTGTTTCCCCAGGATAATTCATTCAGAGCGTGATATTACAGTGTTGACCGTCTGTCTGTAAGTAGATGCCATCTACTAATCAATTTGTATCGTGTTTCCAATAAATTCCTGGAAATTCTGCCTCGTTTGATGCTGCCCTTTCCTGGGACAGTGGCTCAGCTGTCAGGCTCGTTGAGCCCCGCCCCCTCCCCAGCCCTTAACAACAGGTGCTCCTTGTCTCAGGTGCTGCACCCCGCTGCACAGCTCTGAGGGTCCTGAGGAATAATACGCCAGGCCAGGTAGCCTGATGTCCCTCCCGCCACACTGAGACTCTCATAGGCCTTTGCCTGGCGTCAGCATTTTCTTCTGCTGTCTCAGAAGCCACATCCTGAGGACATGGGGGTTTCATGAGGCCAGGTCACCTCATTAGGTGGCCTTTGAGCCTGTGTCCCCTGAGCCTGGAGGTATGAGAAGCACTACTTTGCACCCCTCTGCCCAGTGCCAGCCATGGGACGTGTGCTGGGCCGCTGGGAGGGTGGGCAGGGAGAGCGTGCCCTGTGCGAGAGGAAGGCGCCCGTGTAACGGAAGCGGACGCAGGAGCTGTACATCCCACAGATGGAAGCCCAGCCCCCTCTTCTCATACCATCTCCCTCAGGCGGGAAAGAAATAAAAATGTCTCAGTTGACTTAAAGGGATCCTGGTCTAAGTGCCTGGCGTTCTCCCTTTCCCTGGCCCTGAGTGCGGATGCCTGCAAGGTAGACATTTTCTATTGCGTATTTTATTGGTTCAAACCTGTTTGACTGCAGTGTAGACTCTGCCTCGGTTGCTGGGCCGGGGCCATTGCAGGCTCACTTGGGACCCTTCTAGCCCATGTTTGGGAACACCTGTTGGTGACGCTTGTTTACTGGGATTTGTGAGAGATGGGGGAGTGGAGGGAGAGAGAGGGGGGGGGGGGGGAGATTCAAGAATTTCACTGGAGAAGCAAGACACACGCGAGATTTCTGAAAAACAGAAAAGGTAATTAAGGCCGTGTGGATACTCTCCTGAGTTCTGGGCTAGAGAGAGCTCAGTAAGGCTGGATTCGTGTCAGGGAAGGTTTTGAGAAAGCAGAGGGAGCCTCCAAGGTGGAACACAGCCGCCCCACCTCCGTGAAATCCCTAGGGTGCCCCATGGTTCTTTTTTTATTATTTATTTTATTGTTAGTTTCAGGTGTACAGAATAATGCAATAGTTATCCTTTTTACCCTCACAAAGTAACAACCCCCATGGTTCTTGTTGAGAATTTTTTGTTTTCTTTTTCAATTTGAAAGCAGTCACTGTTTATTAACTGACCAGATTACAAAAATACCCATGGTAGATGCCTTAGTTCATCCTTCTAATAAACCTGTTGATCTGGCCTTCCCTGTTGCCAGCATCTCCACCTTCTGCAAAGTGGGTGGTCCTTTTTTTTATTCCACCTCGTGGAGAAAAGAATATAGCTCTCATGAATCAGATCCTCCATGCAGATGATGCCGTGTTTACCAAGAGATCAAGCAATCAATGTGTCATCTGTCGGGGCAACTCACTTTTTGTTGATTTTGCCATAATCATGCTTATAGATCGATTCATTTACTGACTTCAGGTTTGGGTTCCCCCATGCAATATATGGTTCCACAGTCCTCAGCATGTTCATTGGAGCCTGTTGAGCTTAACAGAGGTGCCATTGAAGACCTGGCGAAGGTGAAGACGCTGCAGCACCTTTTGGACCTCGGGGCTCACACCATTGATGCCTCTGATCCTGACGACAAATGCCAGTTTGGGTTCCGCAGGTACATAGAAGTTGCCAGCTTTTCTCGCCACCCTAGCCATTTGAATCTCAGTTCTGTACATCCGCCTGTATTCTTCGTGGTAGTGCTTAGCTTTTTCATAGATAAGCATCCTTCTTGCCTTTCGGAGCGTCTTTTGGGCCAACTTCTTTCTTAGGCGCTTGATCTTCAGCTCTGTGAAATTCCTTCGCTTTTTCTTAAGGGTTTCTGGCACAGCAGGAACCTTCTCTTCAGCACCCTCCACAGTTCCGGTCGGAAAAAAGAGGGGTATCTTTTTATTGTGACTTTTTATCCTGATTGAAATATCTCCCTCTTTCTGGAAGCTCATCTGTAGAGCGCAGTGTCCCATCCCCTGCCGTCCAAGGTGTACCGACCTAAAGCTCCATCGCCAGGACTGGGTTTTGTGGTCAAACTTCCTAAGAGGTTTCTTCTGGATAAGGTTCACCTTCCACTTGCTCTGACCTTGCTCCTGGGCTGCAGGGGGGGTCGCTGGAGGAAAGCACAGGAGCTGCAGGGACTGTCACTACCCCCGAGCTGTGGGGGACCCACTCACCAGGTAATTTTGGGATGCTTGTTTAATGGCCCTTCCATATGTTCCTTAGGAGATTGTTTTCTTATTTCCGGAATGAGCTGTTTCAATCCTTTGTCATTCCCTAAGCCCACACCCCCTGAGAGTGGAGCCTTCTAAGAATCCCTGTTTTTCCCCTTGGCCCCAAGACCAACTGTGTCTTTCTTCCCGCCCAAGGCGGCGCCCCTTGGCCTCTAGAGGACTCTCCTGGAACCCACATGCTTAATCCATTCCTCCCCTGAACCCCTCCTCCCCACTTTCGGGCCTTGTAATAGAATGTCCTGACTCAGACCAGACTGCCTCTTCCTTAGCTGTATCACTTTGGGCAAATTGTTTAACTTCTCTGTGCCTCAGTTTTCTCATCTGTATAATGGGATAATGGTATCTACCTCATAGGACTAAATAAATTGCAAAGCGCTTAGCACAGGGCCTGGGACAGTGTTTATTATTGCTCCATCATCATTTTCTCCCCTCTCCCCTTCATCTTTACCTTCCCTCCCTTCTCCTACCACTAAGATTTCAGTTTTTCCATCCAGTCAACAACACAACAGAACAATCAAACCACCAAAACGTATGTCCTCTACTTAGGCTCATCTGAAAATATTATTATCTCCCTTTGCTGGCACGTTTGTTGGAAGAGAGAAGAGTTGTGTCTATTGCTTCAAATCTCATTAATTCCTCAACCCATTATAGTACTTTCTGACTTCCTTTCTGCCCTTATCCCCAGCCACTCACTGAAATTGCTGTCAGTAAAGGCACTCGTGGCCTCCTAATTGCCAAATCCAACACTATTTTTAGTCATCCAGTTTGAGCTTTCTTGAGCATTCGAAGCTGGTGTCATCATATTACTTTTCTTGGTTCATGACACTGACCCCTTTGTTCTCTACCCAGAGCGATGCTAAATAACATTCACACAATGCTCATAGTTATTTTCTCATATTTCTTTACAAAGATAACGTCAGCTACAGTGGTCGTCACCTGTGTACCCCCTCCCCGTGTTCTTCCATTTCAGAAGCAAGCACTTTTTAACGTGATCATCCCAATGCATGATTTTATATAATTCATAAATACCTATGAACCCATAACCAATATAGAACATGTTTTACATATTATTCAGTTTCATACTAATGACAGTCTATCACTCCTTGAAGGGCTTGGGTTTATCGTATCAGACAGTGCATGGTTACTCCAGGTTGTCACCGTAAGATGCTTGACCAGACAATGGCAGACACACACTTGAGTTTTCAGATCAACTTTCTTCAGCATGCAATTAGGTATTTTGAAAATGCTTCATTCTTGCATGAAGCACTTTGCAGCCTGTCTGGGTATTTTATGTTCGGCTTTACCCTCATAAATGGTGTCTCTAGTCTGTTCTTTTTAATGGGCAATCTCTTTACTTCAGCAAAGAGATTGCCTTGACTTCTTTTATGCTCTTTTTATTGCTACTTTCTTCCTATTAAAGAATTCTTCTGGGCATTTCACTGGGTCTTCCTTTGTGTGTCTCTTACTTGTGGGGATTTTTAAAAAGATGATTCTGAGTCCTCTTCACTCTCTCCCCTGGTGACCTCATCCATTTCTATAAGCTCGACTCCCATCGAGGAAGAGGAAGGCTCTGAAAGCCTATCTCCAGCCCGAAGTGTGTTACTGGACATGTTTACTTGGAGGTCTTCCAATCCCCTCCAAGTTGTCTTAACGCTTTACCTGCTCCTCCCAGCCTGCTCTGCCATCTATATCCTCACTGTGTCGCCGTCCACCCATCATCCACAGTCACCTCTTCCTCACCTGGGCTGTGCCTCTCTGTCTGCTCCTTCACACTCTGTGCCACTGCCTTTATGCAGGCCCTTGCTTGGAATACAGACTGTTGCCTACTTAGGTCGTCTCCCACACCCCTTCACCAGTCTGTCCACAGTATTACCAAAATGAACTGATCAAAATGCAAAACTGCAGAAGGCAAAATCGTCAACTTCTTAAAGACCTCACGCGTACTCCCCTTCCTGCCATATTGGATTGTTTGTGGGCCCCACCAGCCTCCTGAGCTTGCAGGGCCCAGTCGGCCTGTCTTGCCTTCCTCCTAATTCTGTGTGTGGGCCTCCTCCTCGCTTGCCTCAGTGATCTTGTCACCCCGCCCTGCACACCGAAACTTTTCACAGCCCTGTGCCCTTGTTCATGCTCTTCCCCGTGCCAGGGATACCATTCCCCTCCCTACTCACCTCATCCTCCAAGATTCAGCTCATATACGTTACCTCGCTGACACCTGGGCAGAGTTAGCTCCTCTGACCCTCTGTGCTCTCAGAGGTGTATCGCTACCTCAGATACCCTGGATTACCCTGGCTTGGGTTGCATTTGATCTGTTTGCGGGTCTGTGTGTACCAGGCTTGGCCTGGAGGGGCTCAAAGTCAGAGTAGGATCGTCTGCCTTTGTAGCTTAGTGTCTGGCCACTGGTGGGTGCCCAGTAAATGCTTGATGATGAGCAGCTACAGGCCCATCAGCCCAGCCTTGCTTGCTATATCCCTGCACAGGAGTCCCCAGAATAGAGTTATGGATGCAATCTCCTCGTCCCTCAGGGTGACAGCGGGTTACATTAGGAGAAAGAGGAGAGAGAAGGCACTGCCCAAAATTTACACTGAATAGTGCAGCCCACCCCAGGGACCAAAATGCTGTTTGGAACCCAAATGTAGGAAACGGGGTCTTTATTCAGCCTGCCTTGAACTCACCTTGTACCACCATGGGCTTTACCCTCCCATTTGTAGAAAACCCTGCACTTCTTTTTCCTCCTCCTCCTCTTCCTTTCCCCCTCCCCTTCCCCCCCCCCAATAACTACCTTCCTCACTGGCAGCACGCCCTGGGGCTGGGGGCTCCATGAGAAAGTGTTCAGTCCTCAGCATCCATCAGTGTCTGGGCCTTGCATAAAAGTGTCTGACTTGGAAATGACAAGTCGCAGGCTGAGGCTGGGCTGGCCCAGGCTTGCCCGCTTCTCCCCGTGGTGCCAAAGGATGGAGAGATGGGCAGTCCCTGGAAGTGCCTCTACCAGGGTGAAAAAGGCAGCAACAAGAGTGGAGGAAGGGAGCATGGGGGACAGAGAGACATGAGGAGCCACCTTGGAGGGGCGTAGGTGGCTCACCTTTTCCACCACTTGGTTTGGGTTCTTGTACATCTTGTGGATTTCTAAGAGCAGCTGGTGAGTTTTCAGAAAAGGGAAGAAGAATGGAGACACAGAGGAAATGGATTTCAATATCCATCCCACCCATTGTCCCCCAGGCCACTCCCTCTGCCTGACACCTTCTCTCCATTTCCCACACCAACATCCACACTAGTCCTGGATGTCTCCCTCCTGGGGCGTTGGGGACTCTTCAGGGATTTGGCCTCCATTCCTGAGGGCTGTTAACAGGGAAAGCATCCCTGTCTGCAATATGAGAGGGTTGGACTTAGTGGATTAAAACTCCAAAAGGAATTGGGGAGAGAGGATTTGGTCCCCATCATCAGACCCTGTACCCTAGGACTAGAAGCCTGTGTCTGGGGTGATGAGGGAAGTATCGTTCTGACTGCTGCTGTCGCTCCCAGCAGGAGGGGCATGTGTGTTGGAGGGAGATGTTCATTTCATGGAATAGCCAGGCTGGAGACATGGGGGTCAGGAGGTGCATGTTTGGGGCTTTAGTGACCTCTAAGTAGTCCCTTGGGAAACTTGAAGGCTACGCTCCCACCCTGTGACTTGCCCTGTGGACTGGAGGGCCAACCACTACCCCCCTCCCCCCAGCAAAAAAAAGAACAAACCCTAATTCATACCAGGCACATGCCTGTGCCTGGGGGACCCAGGCCAATGGATGGGTTCGCCCAGATGGTCTCAGACACTAATCACAGGCATATGCAATAGAACAGGAAGGGGTAGAGGTGGGCAAAATGATCTTAGGGGAGAGCTGTGAGCCAGCTCTGGTGACTTCCGGGGTCCTGTCCTGGTGGTGTATCTGTCACCACAGGCTCCAGGGCCAGGGAAGTGCACTTGAGGCTGAGGAAAGCGGGGCTGGAGCTGAGCTAGGACTGTGGAGGTGATAACCTCCAAGGCCGAAGACCCCCCACATCGTCCCAGGGGAGAGAAGGGCAGGGCCCTGGGTGCCTTGGGCAGGACCTCGGGGTTGCAGAAGCAGAGCTGAAGGCCAGAGGGGAGCAGGGGCCTCCTAGAGACCCCGGCAGGCCACCCCTCCATGAGCCTGAGGACCTCACCCAGCAAAGCATTCTGCCTTAAAGGACACTTCAGGGCTCCAGGAGCAATGTGAAAGGACAGTGTCCTGCACAGCACCCCCCTCCCCCCCACACACACACCCCTCTACCCCAGAGTCTCCCTTCATCTTGGGGCACTCATATGGAACACTACTGATGCCAGGGTGGATGGACCAAAAGACATTTATTCAAGTTCCTTAGAACAGCTGAGACAGGCTTGCATTTTCTAAAGGAAATTTACTAGTATTAAAAGGGACACGCGAGATCACAGAAAATACAGCTGTCCCATTTCTAAAGCAAGACGTCTTTCAGAGTAATCAGCTCTGACCAGGGACTGAGCAGCTTTGCAACCCTGTGTCTGAGCTGGAGCTCCTGCATCGTCTGCCTATCTCTACCTGCCCTCTGCTTTTTCCTGCATGCTGGGGATGTCAGTTGGGACATGATACTCTGTAAGGCCAAGACCTTTTCTCCTCCTTCCACCCACCTGGCTGGCTTCTGGCAGATGTTCTTTGTCCAGTTGGTTCAGACACGCTGTGCTGGTAGCAGTCTAGGGAGTGAGTGACCTTGTGCCTCCTGGCAGTCCTCAGTCCTGGGGACGGCCTTCCCTTATTCCAGCGATGCCTCCGCCTGCAGCTTTCCTGCGGCCTCCGCCCTCCTGGAGGCCTGGAGCCAGGTGCGGGGCTCGTAGGAGCTCTCCTCGCTGGCTGGGCTCTGGCGGAGGCCCAGCAGGGCCTGGCCCTGGCGGAGGAAGCTGGGGCTGGAGAAGCAGTAGAGCACGGGGTCCAGGACGCTGTTGAGGTAGGTGAAGGCTAGGGAGCCGTGGAAGAGCTGCGTGCAGATGTCCAGGGCACGGCAGGCATTCAGGCGGAAAGCCACCAGGGACGCCATGCCGAAGATGACGCTGGGCAAGAAGCAGACGACGTAGACGGCCACGACCGCGGCCAGCATGCGCACGGCCCTCCGCGGGCCCGCTTGCTCCCCCAGGCCGCGGCGCCGGATGGTCAGCCCGATGCTCACGATGGCGAACAGGATGATGGCCAGCGGCAGGAAGAATTCCAGCACGTACAGGGCCTGGTGCCAGCGGAGCAAGGCCGAGGAGGCCTTGCCCAGCCGGTAACTGAGGCAGGACTGGCTGGGATGAGCGGTCAGGAGCAAGTGCCCGTTGAGGAGCAGGATGCCCACCCAGAGCCCGCCCGCCACCCGGGCGGCTGCCCTGGCCGAGACCCGGCTCAGCGCATGGTGGGGCCGCCCCACCTTCAGGTAGCGGTTGAACGCGATGGCGGTGAGGAAGACCACGCTGCCCGTGCGGTTGCTAGACAGCATGAAGAGGTTGAGCTTGCAGGCGGTGACCCCGAAGCGCCAGATCTCGTGGTGGAAGTAGTAGTCCACGCGAAGGGGCAGGTTGATGATCAGGAGAAAGTCCGCGATGACCAGGCTGACCAGGAACACGGTGTTGGAAGTCCAGGGCCGCGTGTGGACACAGAAGATGAAGAACGCCAAGCTGTTCCCCACCAGGCCCAGGACAAACTCCACGCCCAGGACTGACGCCAGGAAGACAGATACCTTGGGGGAAGGGGTTGGGAGGCAGTGAGCCGGTGCCCCCAATGCGGTGGTGAAGGCAGAGGAAGAGGGAGGGAGGGAGGGAAGGAGAGTGGAGGGGGAGAGAGAAGGAAGGGGAGAGGCAGCACTGACGTTATGGAATTCCATGTGCTGCTTGGGCCGTGGACCTGAGAGAAATGTCCAGTCTTTCCACCCCCGAATCAATGTTCAGCGATGAGTGCTGTTTATCAGCTGGCCACCACAATGACTCAATATCCTGGGGTTTTTATCAGCACCCCCACAGCTACTGAGAAACACCCCATGTTCCTGTTTGCTCACAAAAGGGAACCCTGCAGCCCTCCCTCGCTCCTTCCTGCCCCCACCCCCCCATCCATTCCTTTCTGACTCCCCATCTCCCGGGACTGGGTGATTCCCCAACCAAGTCTCTGAATCCAGCCTGGGGGGTGACATCTGTGCTGCCCCTGGCAGAGGAGGAAGCAGGGATCAGCAGGGGTGACATGGAGGCCCAAAGACACCCTGAAGCGGGAGGAAGGCCCAGCTGGGGTGAGGCGGGGGAGAACGTACACAGCTCTGAGGGGTCAGCCATTTGCTTGCTGAAGGCAGGAGCTGGTCCTGGCAACCCGTGGCTCTCAGGGTCATGCAGACCACCCTAGACAACCCCCCACCCCCACATCATACATATAGGCTGGGCGGCTGCCTCCCTGCCCCCGCCAGCTCTGGCAGCAGGGGCTGTGGAGCCAACAGGATGTTGTCCTGGGGGACGGAGGTGGGGAGTCCGGTCTACACCTGACCACTGTGCGCATGGCCTGTGGGAACCAGCCTGTTTGTGCTCTGCCAGTTGCAGTAGTTCCTCCCAGATTTCTGATGGTTCCAAAGTCTGTGATGGTCCCAAGTCCATGTACATGATGAAGTACATCCCACAGGTAGAGGGCTCCCCTGCCTATTTCTACTCCTGTGATGGGGGGAACTGGGGGTTTCTCCCCTGAACAGAACAATCTTGAGAGTCCTTGAGTTTCCCTGCCCACTGCCTACCCACCTCCACCTCCACCCAGCATTCACTTTAGAGAGGGGAGTGGGGAGCTGGGGCTGGCTTTGGACCAGGTACAAGACCTGCTGTCCCACTATGTGGCGCTCTTAGGAGCCCACGTGGCCAGGCCTGTGGGCAAAGATGAGAGCCTCAGGCTCCTGATAACCTGGGACAGACAGCATCTAGGGAAGCTGTGCTCCCAGGTTCCAGGACCTGACACCCACCCTTGCCAGCTGGCTGTGGTCAGCAGTATGCCATGTGCGGCCAACCCTGCCTAGGCCTCTGGGTTTCAGGCACAGAGGCTGCAGGCTCCTCTCCCAGATCCCCCAGGCCTCTCCCCTGCCCTGATCTGGGCCCCCATCTAGCCAAGGCTGAGGGCAGACAGGCTGTGCCCACAGTGTGCAGGGTGGTGAGACCACCAGCCTGAGCTTTGAATACAAACAGGCCTCAGTTGGAAACAGAGCTGCCTGCTTTCCAAACCTCTCTGAGCCTCATCTATAAAATGGGATACTACTACCTTCCTGGAGAGTTGTGAGAATTAAATGAGATAATGTATGTAAAAACCTCTAGGGGATTCCCTGGCACAGAGCGCATGTTCAGAAAAACAGATGATCTAATTTTCATGATTGTCTTTCTCTGGTTAGGCACTAGGGACAAATGCCCTTTTGTTGTGGCCACCCATCCCCAGCCAGGAGGCCTCCCTGGGACATTCCCATGTTCTCAGTTCCTCCACAGAGCCACACCTTGCTGCAGCCCAAGCACGGGCCAAGCCTCTGCCCTCGCCACCCTGGACGGTTTGTAAATTTGGGGGAGGCTGGCAGTGTTTTTCCTTTGCTTGAAGGAGAGGAGAGCCCTTAGGGATAAAGAGGTGGGTGAGGGTCTCACCATCCCTCAGGGCCGCTGGAAGCGCCTTCAGCAAAGTCAGGCTCTCCTCTGCTCTTCAGTGCAGTGTCTCAGAGCAGGGAGCCGTGGGGCCGGGGTGGAGAAGGCAGGGCTCAGACCCCAAGCTTTCCGGAGGAAGCCTTGACTCTAACCGGGGCCCTGTTCTGTCCAGATCCAGCTTTATTCATCCCCACGTGCGACCCCTTATGGACGTCTCATTGAAGTCAGGATACTGAACCCAGATCTTCGTGCACAGTAGCCCGGAGCAGGGGGTTGTGGACAGACACCCTTCCCCGGCCAACCCCCTCATACAGCTTCTTGCCCTCTGCAGGCTCACCAAAATCTTCGAGTATTAACAGTGGTTAACGCTGGGTGGGAGATTTCGTGTTTTTATGTGTTTCTGTGTTTTCTACAATGAGCAGAAATCACTCCTGATATTGGGACACAAAAGCCTAACAGGTGCTATTTTTTAACATGATGTAAAAAGAGTAAGTGGGAAAGAGACAGAGAGATGACATCAGCTATGCCCCCAGGACAAGCACAGGAGCCTGTGTGGATTGGGCCATACGCACAGTGATGAGCGCCCCTCCAAGCAGGGACACCCCCTAACAGACCCTCCGCAGGTGCACAGTCACCCAGTGCCCTGACACCCCAGACCACACAGTCACAGGAGCACACACGGGGTCAGCCCTCGACCACAGCTGGGGTGCGTGCAGACCCACGGGTGCTCGTCCACCAGGAAGCTTTTATTGAGGGCCTTCTTGGTGGCAGACAAGTGCTGCTGAGATGAGCCTGTGAGGACAGAGGATGGAGAGGCAGCCCGGCCTCAGGGAACAGATCACCTGCAGAGCTGTGTGGGGCAGTGGGCTAAGGGCTGTTAGAGGAGAAGGGAAGCGACTAGCCCCTCAGGAGCCTGGAGTCTGGGCCAAGAGGATGGGAGGAGGATCGAGACAGTGGTGTCCAGGACCCAGCAGTGGGGGGCACTGAGTCCCTCAGCAGCAGTACACCGAGAAGCAGTGGGGGTTGGGAGAGCAGTTCGGCAGGGGTGGCACTCCGGCACGTCCTGTGGCTGCTTTGGGCCCACAGCAAGATGATCACCCCAGGGGCTTCTTGCGGGTGGGGTCCTGGGTCACAGCCAGGGCCACAGAGCCTCGCCCTCGCTCCCAGGCATACCTGTGGAGACACAGGTGAGCAGGGGTCAGACAAGGCTGGGCCCTGAGGATCCCAAGGAAAGGAAGGCAGCCCCGCAGCTGGGGGGAAGCCCTCCCCGTGGACTCACGCAGTCCCGGCTGGCACCAGGAGGCTGTCATCAGGGTTCAGGCTCAGGTGCTGTCCCCCCATCATCACCATGGAGGAGCCCTCCTGGGGGAGAGGAACAGGAGAATTGAATGGAGGCCGTTGGGCCTTAACACCTGTCCGAGCGTCCTGAGTCGGCCTTGGCAAGGAGGCCCTGGGAGCTGGTCCGGGTTATGGGAGCTCAAGGCCCTGGAGTAGGCTGGTCCCCATGGGCAGGAGGTTGTGCCACCCTCTCTCCTGGGGGCCCCACTTGCCAGCTGCCACAGCCACATGTCCACATCCTGCTTCGGGCCTTTGCTGCTGCCTTGTCCGTGGACGATCACCTAGTGGGAAGTGACACAGATCATCCTGGGGCTCCCTGCCTCACAGAGGATATGGCCTTGAACCTGGCCACCAGACACCAGGTGTGTTTGGGGCAGGGGCGAGGCCTGAACATAGCCTTATCTCCACGTGTGGAGCCAAGATGGGACTTGGAGAGCAAGGCTGCCCAGGTTGCAGGCCTCCCTGCTGCTTCCATCACAATGGGTGCTGCCCACCTGCCCTTTGCGATCACTCGTGCCTGCCCTTCATACACACATGCATATCCGGTCCCTCATAGCACATCACAACTACCCCTGACCCACAGGAAGGCATGCCTGCCAGGGGCACACTAAGGACACACACACACGTGCACAGCATAGTGCAGAGCCACGTAGCACACACGTAGCTCAGTTCCTTAAAGCATGTCCACCTCCTTTCCTCTGAGGGATTCTGGCCTAAGGAACAGGAGGGAGATGGGAGGGGGTGAGCGAGAGCGAGAGGGAGGCTGAGCCTCTGACGTGCACCAGCCTGGAAGCCCACAGCTACTGTGCAGGCTGCGCTCCCACTGGCGCAGAGGGGGATTCAGGAGGTATTTGTCGGGATAAACTGAAGCAGATGGGAGTAGGGGTGAGAAAGAAGCAGAAGGCAGGGCCATGAGGCCACCTCAGTGCTGAGTGATGTCGCTATGATGGAGGGCAGGGTCTTTGTGGTGTGCGCTGGCTGTCACAGCCCTGCTGAGCTCAGGTGTCTGCTGGCCAGGCCTCTAAGGGCAGGCCATATCCAGTATGCATCCCTCCATGGAGCTGTCTTAAGTCAAACTGCAAGGATGTGCCAGTGGCAAATTGTAAAACACAAGCGAACACGAGTCTCCTATCAGGTCTCCTTGCTTCCTCACTTACCCTCCCAAGCCTGCCCCACACAGTGTACAGTGGTTTTCCTGAAACGCCACTCCGGCTTTGTCATCTTCCTGCTCCAGTGCTTGGCTGGAGCTCTGTTACCTCCAGGAGACACCCTTTCGCCTTGCCTAGCCCAGGAGACCTAGCAGGACCTGGGCACTGCCTGCTACTCTGGCCGTCTAGCAATCACACCGCCTGCCCCCATTCCTCTGCCCTGGATGCTGCCAACCTCAGCTACTTGCAGTGCCGGTCTGTGTCAAGCTTCCAGGCCTTGGCTCATGCTTCTTCCACACCCAGAGCCTCTATCTTATTTTCTTCCTTTTGCAAACTCCTATGTTCGCTTAAAAGTGCAGTTTACACATCACCTCTTCCAGGAAGCCTTCCCAGGAGGCTGGACTACCCTCCCAGCCTGGGTTCCTCCTTTATCCTGCTGTGACTTCCTAAAGCTTCTCTACCAAATAACGTATCACATGATGGTGGTAATTGTCAATTAACTTGTTCTTTTACCAGACCATACACTCTTTGAGGCAGTGATTCTAATTTTCCTACCAAAGCCTGAAACATAATAGATAGTCAATAAATATTGAATGAATGAAGGCCAGCTTTGCTTGGGTCTCTCTCTATGTACCTCTCCACCCAACCCTCATCCCCGAACACCCCTCTCCCTTTTGGCTCCCAAGTCTGTGACTAGCCAAAGGCTCAGGAATTCCTACCAGGGGTATAATCCTAGAAACCGTTCACTGGATGGGGCAACCTCTTACTCTGAAAGCAAAGAAAGGTTGCTTAGGACAACATAGCCTCCACGGGTTTCCCTCATTGCAAAGCCATTGTTCTCTGAGTCAGGGAAGAAACAGGAAGGCCTGTGCTCATGTCTAGAGTCTCCGAAATATGTGGGGTGAGTGTGCGTTTCTCATTTCCTGGGGCTGCTGGGTAGATGCGCTGGGCGGCCCAGGGCTGCATTACCTGGGTCTCATAGTTGTCCCCAAACAGGCTGAGGGGTGTGCCTGCCTGCAGCTCCCTGCGGTGGCCATCTAGCCAGGCTTCCAGGAACATGGGCTCCATGACGGATCGTGTGCTCAGGGGGAATGGTGGTTCCTTGAGCAGCTGGTCTGTACCCATGGCCCAGCTGTGGTCAGCGTCCTCTGGCCCAGCCTACCCAGCCCCTGCAGACCCAACTCCCAGGAGCCCCAGCTCTCAACTGCCAGAATGGGCCCTAGATCCAGCTAAAGGACCCAGCAGCTATGCGGTGAGTACAATTTAGTGCCATCTTGCTGTACCTTGAGTACTGGGCACAGTATTCAAAAGGGGACCCCCTGGAACCCTGGCCCGAGACCCATCCTACTCTGAGAAAGGAGGGAGGTAGGGAAAAAGGTGGTTCCGGTGACCTCACCAGGAATGGGCTTTCCTGTTCTGTGCTGTTCAGAGCTGAAGAACCTGCGGGGACATACAGGGATGGGGAGAAGGGGCCAGCATTCCTGATTGAGCAGCCAATGAGAGACACACATGTATACACACTCATACACTCTCAGGTGCAGGGGCCTTCACATGACTCATATGGGCCATCCACTCTCTCACAGCCCCGTGGAGCAGGCCCCTTTCCCTCCCCAGGGGCCTTTCCAGCCCGGGCCTCCCACCCTGGGAAAGGCAGATTTTTCTCCCTAAATCCTGGTCATCGTAGTTCTGGGCTGGCAGGTCCTGCATGGAGCACTGCTTGGATGGGTCTGCTCTCCCCAACCAGAATATGGGGCCTCAGGAGGGAGAGGGGCACGGGCTGGGTTGGGCCTCACTCCTGGATGATGGGGGCCAGCTGTGTGCCAAGGTCCTCGCAGTAGAACCACTTCTCAAACAGGACGTCCGTCGTGTCGCCCGCGTAGTACCTGCCAGAGCAAAGGACGGGCCACCCAGCTCCCCATCTGGGCGGACTCAGGGCAGCCTCCCTTGGGCCTGCCTCTGCATGGGGACGTTCGGGCCTGGCTGTCCCTGCAGAGCTGGCCCTGCAGAGCTGGCCCTGCAGAGCTGGCCCTGCAGAGCTGGCCCTGCAGAGCTGGCCCTGCAGAGCTGGCTGCTTGCTTCACTCTGTTAGCACAACCTAGTGGCCACACTTGAATCTTCAAGAAGCAGCCTGTACCTCCCAAGTGAGAGGGCTATTATCCATTCCATTTGCATAGCTCTTCCTGGTTCCCAAAACATGACCGTCTACAAAGTGACTAGAACTCTGAGGCTCAGAGAAGCTGGGCAGCTTGGGAGGGATTACATAGCCTACAAGTGGCAGAAGCAGGACAGACTTGAGACGCGCAGAGAGCATCAACGACAAGCGTCTTCATTGTTCCCAAAGCGAAAGCTAAGGCTGAGGCTGAGCCTGAATCCCGGGCGTGGCTGGATGCTCTTACCTGCCTGCTAGTGCTCCAGGTCAGAGCACATGGAATCTTAAGGAACCAACATATGGAAGATGCCCCTAGATGAGGGGTCCTTTTACTTTCAGGGTCATGGATGCTTTTGAGAACTGGACCAAAGTGCTGGACCAAACTGGCCTCTTTTCTGGAGGAAGGTCCACATGCATGTACACATAGCCTCTAGTGGACTCCCTGAAGCCCGCCCAAGCCCCAGCCTGGCTCAGAGCGCTCCTCTGCTGGCATGAGGAGCGCCTGGCAGACCGGGGCCATGCCTCAGGCTCCAGTGTGTGCAGCACATCTGTTGTGACTAAACACCTAATGCCCAGGCTCTGCTCCCTGGGCCAGCCCAGCTCTGTCTGCTCTTCAACTCCTCCCCAGAAAGAGAAGTGGTCCTGCTCATGGGAGGCAGTTCAGAGACACACGGTGCATCCACCCTGCCCAGCACCCCCGGTTCTATCCTGGGATGGAGCTGGCCATCAGAAAGCTTCATAATGGGACCGTGATGTCCTCCAGAAATTGCTTTCAGAGTGGAATTTTAATGTTGAGTCCTTGGCTTTTATTAAAGGTCAAAAGCAGCCAGATGAAATCTGTTATTGAATTTGCTGTAAAAATGTTATTGAGGAAACCATGCTCTCCATCAGTAAAGACTCCCTAGATAAAGCCCCAAGAGAAAAATTCCTTCTAGAAATGAAGGCCAGGCATCTGCTTCTCCAACAGACTATTATGCAGCAGATCAGTATGTGGTCATTAACATAATGTTTTTTGAAAAGCAGTTAATAGTATGAGAAATACTCGTGAGTTTTTTCATGTAAAAAAACCATAACTCAGACCCATGCTTGCACTAAGTCTGCAATGTTGTCAGGTGTAGCTATGCATAGAAAAAAGGCACGATGGAAGTTTAAGCACCTTGTTAGGTTTAACTGGTGGGATGACAATTTGTTTTTCTTTTTATTATTGTTTGTTTGGTTTTTGTTTGTTTTGTTTTTTTTAGCTGAGCCATCCTTCAAGCTGTTGGCAGCTCAGCTCGGGCCAGGAATCGAACCAGCAACCCTGTTGCTCAGAGCTCACACTTTTGAGCGAGCTCTTAAACAACTGAGCCACTCTGCTGGCCCGCTTATTATTGTTTGTTTGTTTGTTTATTTTGAGATATCATTCCCATACCATAACATTCACCCTTTTCCTGACAGGTCATTTCAATTTTGTTCTTTTCTAGATTTCAAGAATGAACGTGTAGGACTTTGGTAATTAGAAAAAAAGGAAGTATTTTTTTAAAGTGCCATTATAACAGAAGATGTCAGTAACGTGTTGGGAATTTTTAATTTTCTTATTTAAAAAAATGCAAAAAGTAGTTTAGCTTTTGGAAAACTCCATGTCCCCTGAGCCAGAGGCTGTGCCTCCCTTTCAGAAGATAATAATTGGGTGACTGATCGGAACCAAACGGGAACTCAACTCTAGGAACAGTGCCTGTCCCTGCACCATGTTGTCCCCTCCCTACTGCTGACTCCCACTCCTACTCTGCCTGTCCCGGCCCTCATTTCATATTTCTCTATCATGCCAGCTCTGCCATTTTCTAGCCAACTCAACTTCCTTGTGCCCAGTTCCCTCACTGGTAAAGTACAGATGATAACAGTACCTGCCCCATAGGATCATTGTGAGGATTTTCTGAATAAATACACACAAAGCGCTTAGCCCGGTGCCTGGCCCATAGCAAGCGTTATACAAACATGAGCGCTGGTTGTGGGATGAGCTGAGTCAGAGAGACAAGCAGAGGGATGCACTGGCAGAGACTGAATAAACTCTGGAGGCAGAGGCTGAGAGAAGCGCAGGTTCTGGTCCCAGCCAGAGGGTCCTCAGGCTGAGTGGGCTCCCAGAGGGACCCAGAGAGTCCCATCCACCCCACCACCAGCAAACCCACCCACCACCTACCCTAACCCATCTTCCATTAGCCAGCAAATACTGGATCTCCATTGTCTCCAACCCACTCAGTGGCCAGGAAATGCTTTCTTGGGTGTATCTAGGATCCTTTCCTCTGCTGACTGCTCCTCCCCCGCCCCTCCATTTCTGCCCCAGACTCCCACACAAGGCCCACTTACCTGAGTCCATCTAGCTCAGTTTTCAGCCGCCTCCGCTCAATCACCAGCCCCACAGTGTTGGCAAACCTCTGTGGAGAGTGGGGGATCCCAGCAGGCAGGAGGAATATCTGCAATGGTGGGGACAAGGTACCAACAAGGCTGCAATCCCCAAAGGAGACCTCAGGGCCTGCGGCCTCCTGGCCTCCCAGCTGACTCACGGGGTCCAGCCCAGCCCAACTCTCTGCCCAACCTTCCCTGCACACCTTCCCCGACTGGAGGGAATATCAGGCTGTGACAAGGATGGGGCAGCCCAGAGGAGAAAGTGCCAGAAAATGGGGCCACAGCTGAGCAGGTGGGCAGGAGGGCAGGAAAAGGCAGGAGGATAAGACCTCGGCCAAAGCCAGGATGAGCGGGCATCCAGGATGGGTTCCTGTTTCGGGGGCCTTTTGCTTCTGACCCCTGGGGCCCAGCCTCACCTCTCCCTGCCGAATGACCACATCCCGGTGTTTCCCTCGCTCCAGGATTTGGAGAACCATGTCGCCTTCCACCTGGTAAAACACCTGTGGGACAGGACAGCAGAGAGGCTCGGACCCTCCGTCTTCCGGGTTCTAGAGCTCTAACTGGGGAACCTGAGCAAGTTCCTGAAGGCCTCGGAGCTAATGGGCAGCTCTGTCACTCCTGCCCTGAGGCCCCAGCCTCCCCTGACACAGGCCCAGACAGGAGTGCTGTGGAAACACACAGGGATCACACCTTGACTCGCAAGTAGTGACCAAAGAAGCCAGGACACAAACAGGTGGTGTCTGGCTTGGGGGCAGGCAGCTGGCTGAGATGCTCACTGGAGAATTCAGTGACCCTTCGGCCAGGTAAGAAGACCCGCCCATTGACTGTGTCCCAGAGGCTGTGTAAGCACTTTCCTATCCATGATCTGAAATCTTAACAACAACCTCCAGAGATATCATTAGTCCTATAAGGCAAGACAGAAAAAACAAAAACTGAGGATCAGAGAGTAAAGCAATTTGCTCAAGGACACACAGGTAGGTCTGGAGCCCCAGTGTGGACCCAAGTCTACATGTAGCTCTGGAGTTCGTGCTGCCTCCTCAGGGGATGGCGATGCCCTGGTAGGGGGTGGGGCTGTGCCCATCCAAATCCCTCTGGAGATTGGCCATGTAAATTGAGGACTCAAGGATGCTGGAAGCTGTGGGGGATGGGAGCACTTGCCTCCTGCTGCCTCCCTGGGATAGGGTGGCGTGGGAGGGGGCCCCTACTGTGTTTTCCCTATTCTGTCCTAAGTCTCTAATTAATGTGTTTGCTGAGATCATCTAATGGAGCTGGGAAGAGGAGGAGGCAGACACATTTTTTTCACCACCAGTCACACATTACACTGATGTTAAAACCACAGCCAAATAGTTGAAGGGGTGTTATTAATAATAATTATTATTATCATGTAAGGAGTTTGAGGAATAGAGGTTCTTGTCACAGCATCTACTAAGAGAAATCAAGCCAAGCTTAGGGAAACTAGAGCAATGTGGTCTGCACAACTTGTTCTGAAGGGTCATTTGGCAACAGGCAGGAAGAACCCTCACAGCTCACACCCCTGTGGGTTGGCCAGAGCAGTTTCTTGGGGTGCAGGACCTTTAGTGCTGAAACTGGAAAAGTCCAGGACAAACCAGGACAGTGGCCACCTTATGCTCTTGACCTACTACGTAATTCCATCTCTAAGAGGTGGCTGCAGTGAATCAGAAAGGCCCCTGCCTCATGGGGCACATACGTGGCAGTTTTGTCACAATGCATCATAGGTAAAAGCACAGTTTCCAGCATTACCTGGCCCTCAGCTTAACCAGGTCGCCGTGTGCCCTTGGTCAATTCAGTTAGGTTTTCTGTGCCTCTGTTTCCTCATCTATAAAATGACAGTGTCTACTCAGGATGTTGCTGTGAAGTCTGCTGGGACACTACACTATGTACCCGTAGTCAACTCTCATAGACCCGTAGCTATTAACACAAGTGATGGCAGGAATAGCAAAATAATGCGAATAATAATAACAGGGGAAATGTCACTATTTTACAACAGAGTCAAAATATGGAATATTATGCAGCCATTCAAAACTATTTTTGAATAGCTGTTAATAAGGTGGAAAAACGAAAAATGCTAAAGTTATCGTGTTAGAGCAAGATTTGGAACTACACCCAGCAGGATTCTACTTATGTAGCAATGCATGTGTGAACCCAGGGAGTGTTCACAGCAGTGGAGTTCCCTGCGTAGTGGGGTTATGAATGAGATATATACATTTGTCTTTTTTTATACTTTGCATGTTTTCCATAAAAAAAAACAATATCCACTTTGATTATTAAAAATAACCCATGCAGGGCTGGCCAAGTGGCATGATGGTTAAGAACTGGCTTGGGACGCCAGAGGGCCCCGGTTCGGATCCCACATATGCGGGCCAGTGACACTGCCCTCCACAGCTAAGATGCTGAACAACAGCTCAACCTGGAGCTGGGCTGCCATGAGTTGCCGGCGACGGCATAGGCTGCAGCCCCTGTGGCAGTGGGTTGCCATGGGCTACCGTGTGTAGCCAGTAGCCAGTGTGAGTGGCCAGCAGCCGCAGTGAGCGGCCGTCCAGAAGCCGGCGACTGATCTGCCTCACCCGGGAAGAGCGCAATGATGGTGCCAACTTGGGCCAGTGAAGCAACGTCCTCCACAACTAGACTGAAGAACAAAAAGACAGAAACTTGTCTGTTCCCTTTCCCCCAATTCCCCAGCACTGTTCCCATCCGCCCAATTCCCCAATAAAAAAAAAATCTTTAAAAAAAAATAAAAATTAAAAAATAACCCATGCAAAATATTTAAAACATACAAAAAAAAGCCTACCAGGTTATCTTAGGGAGCAATTCTGCAACCCCACCCCCACACCCCCTGTGTATGTGTGTGTGTGGGGGGGGACAGTTCTTCCATGGTGCAGACAAAGGAGGAAGGGCCTAGAGACTTCTAGGGAGGGGGCCACAGCTCTTGGGTCTTGCAAATATCAGGGAAAGTGGGGCTGAGGTGGCAGTCTGATGGTGTGGGTCAGATTCAAACCCATCTGGAAGGTACCAAGTGTTAGCAGCCATCCAACAAAAACAGAAAGGAGCTGGAGTTTTTCTCAGTCCTGCCTCTCTGCCCAGAGGCTTTCCTTGTGATGAGGGTCCGGAGGCCTGGCCTGGAGCAGAGGTGCCGATCCTGGACCACAGAAAATCCCAAACAGCCGTGGGCCATCCAGAAGGAATCATGCCGGAAAGGGGCTGAGTGTGCCGAGAACCAATGCCTATTAAGCACCTACTGTGCGCCACCAGGCAGGGCCAGTGTCCCCATGTGCCACAAGGAAACAGGCTCAGAGAAGTGATGTGATGTGACCTGTCCAAGATCGCATGATTAGGAAGAGGCAGACTCCCAGCCCAGGCCCCCCCCACACCTATGCGCCCCAAGGGAAGGACTGGGGTAAGTGGAGTATGTGTGGTGTGTGGAGCCGGGGCACCTGAAGGGCTGAGGCTGAGGCCTGAGCTCAGCGAGGAGAAAAGTTTGGCTCAGTGACTCCCTTTCTCTCATCAGAGTGGATGGGGTCTGGGACAGACAGGATGCTGACCCTCTGCCCTGTGGCTTCTCAGGGCCTGTGGCTGGTATTCGCCTCCACCTCCGGGGTGGGACCAAACTGTTACAAATCCACCTCTAGCCAAATTCCTCCCAGTCACTTGAGTGTCCCTCAGCGTGGGGACACCTGTTCGGGCCAGCCCTCCTTCATCTGTCAGCCACCCCGCGAAATCAGGGCTTGGCCTGGGTCCCTAAGTAGACACCCATCCACCAGACCAGCTTGGGGAGACCCCAAGGTGGGGCATGGGGCAGAGGTGGTAGAGAGGCAAGAAGGGACGGAAGGAGGGAGGGAGACAGGAGAAGTGGGCAATGAGGTGAGGGCTACAGAGCGGAAGCCTCTGGAAGTCAAGACGGGAGGCTTGAAGCTGACTGAGGCAGGCAAGAGAGACATTGCTTCCAGCCTCGTCTCCCCTACCTGGTCTCTGCTTTGCAATTTTGGATTTTCCTGCTGTTTTTTTATTTCCAGAGGAAAATGGCCTTCAGTGAGGTGTAGTGTGAGAAGGAGGTGGCCAGGGGAGGTGTGGGTCCTGGAAGGGTGAGAGGTGAGGGGTTGGCCAGCTCCCTGCTGGCCCGGGGCCTCACCCCTTCTCCCCCTCACACACTAGGTGCTCAGGAAATATTTGTTGAGCAAGTGATAGTCGCTGAGTGATTCTCTCGTGCTCCCTCCAGTTCCCAGCTGTGGCTGAGTCACCAGCAGTGGGGGTGGAGGCTGGTGACCAAGCTGGACTCTGGACCTTGAACTCCAGCACCAGGCCCCCCAGGAAGATAGGTAGGGGGCATCCCATAACTGGTCCTTTGCCACCAGAGATTCTGATAGCTGGGAACCCATCCGTGTCCCTCCCTAGCAGGGCCCATCTTTTTCTCTTAATTTTACTTCTGTTTATTTACCTTGATGTAGGTACCGTGTTTCCCCGAAAATAAGACCTAGCCGGAGAAGAAGCCCTAGCATGATTCCTCCAGGATATGGAGGGCACGCACCCCTCACATGAGGGTTTTATAACCTGTTTCAGGGAGAAGGGTGCCTTTTCCACAAACTCCTTCAGCTTAAAATATTCAGTATGCCAAGGTGCCGTATTTTGGCACCTAAAATCATGCGAGGGTTTATTTTCCGGCTAGGTCTTATTTTCAGGGAAAGAGGATAGTATAGAAACACAATCCAAAATTCAAGATACAAATGGGTATTCAGCGCAAATTGCAAATTTCCTCTCCCACCTATAGCTCCTAGCAACTGATGTGTCTTGTGCCCTCTAGATAAGGAGGGGCCTCCCAGCCCCAACTCTACCCAGAGAACTTGGCTCCTGAGACCAGAGTAGAGCACCTGGGTCCCTCTCAATGCTTGGGTCTCATTTTGGAGGCCAATCTTGCATATTCAGATTTGTGGGAAGGGACCAGGGCCTCCCACCTGAAGCACGGACAGCCCGTATCTGGGGGTGAGACCAACAGCTAGAGCCTCTCACACCTGCAGAGGCTGGGGTCTTTCTGAGGACGGAGCTGTCAAAGGCGTCACTGGGTGCCCACATCTCCCAGGCAACAGTATTACCCTGTGGTTTTGGTTGAGCCCCCTTCACCATCAGTGATCTGACCACACCGTCCATAGGCTCTGGTCCTATGGGAGGCATCCTCTGCTCCCAGGGCTGGGTGGGGGGAGGGGCAGTCTGCAGGCCTACCTCCTCACCCTCCTCGATGTGGTAATCCTTCCTGATGTTGGGTCCTCCAACGAACATGACTTTGAGCTGCTCCTGATGCCTGCAATGGATGAGGGGGAAGAGGGGCTGAAGCAGCTCATGGGTGAAGACAGGAGAGGCCTATGAGGGGCCCTGCGGGAGCCTGGGTACACCTGGGACAGGTAACAGGGCTGTTTCTCCATCATTGTGCCTGTACGTCATCAACGTTTGTCTTCTTCCAGGCTCATTCCAGGGGGCCCATGGGTATCTGAGAATCTGTCTGCGACTATATGTGCCTGTGTCTTTCTGTATCTGTGTCTTGGTGTGTGTGTGTCCCTCTGTGTGTGTCCCCCACATTCTCTGACCCAGTAAGGGGAACAGCGTGGTGGTGGATCTATCTCTTTATCAACCAGGATCCCTGGGCTGTGCTCAAGATCTCCAAACAGAGGAGCACAAACTGAAGGCCCGCTTCCTATAGGGATAAAATGACCTTTTTCTACCTTCCATGCCCCAGAGCTGTCTGATTCTGAGACTGTCTGTTCCCCCAGAGCGGGGAAGCTGCTGGGCTTAAAGCTCTGAGGCACGTGAGGAAAGAAGTGGAGAGAGAAGCTGGGGGCAGAGGCCCTGAGAAGAGACGCACTGGGGGTCCTGGTGGTGTGAGAGAGAGAAGGCTGGATCAGGATGGGGTACCAGGTCACCCCAGACCTCAAGAGCTCAACCAACGAGTTTGTTCTTGGCCTGAGGGGTGCCAGAGAGCCTAGGATTATTATTTTTTTTTTGCTCATTTTTAATCCTCTTTACTGAGATATAATTTAGGTACATATGGAAAGTTCTTGAATCAACTCACTCAAGAACTATTTCGACCCATCAGTCAGAGTGCATAAGCTGGGTCATGTCCTTCCTCTGCTCAGAACTCTCCAGCAGCTTCCTATGTCCCCGCTGCCCCAAATTTATATGTTGGAATCCTAACACCCAGTACCTCAGAATGTGACCTAATTTTGAAATAGCGTCAATTGCAGATGTAGTTAGTAACGCTACAGTGAGGTAATACTGGAGTAGGGTGCGCCCCTAATCCAATACGAAATATGTCCTTATAAAAGGGGAGATTTAGACAGACACACAGGAGAACGCCATGTGAAGATGATGGCAGAGATCGGGGCGAAGAAGCCAAGGAATGCAAAGATGGCCTTTAAACCTCCAGGAGTGAGGAGAGGCCTGTAGCAGACTCTCCCTCACAACCCTCGCCAACACAGGGGGTAAAGCTAAAGCCCTATTCCGCCCTGTGGCCACCAGGTCTGCCTGCGGCCTCCCACCCCCTGTTCATTAATATTTATTGCCTGCCTCCTCCCACTGGAATGTTAACTCCCCTCAGAAGGGACTTTTGTCAGTTTGTTTCCTGCTGTACGTTCAATGTCCAGAACAGTGCCTGGCATGTAGCAGGTGCTCATTGAACATTTGCTGAATGACTAAAGGGAGGGTCTACATTTTGAGATTACTAATACTGGGGCAGCGCTGGAGGGCTGGGTGGGGAGCCTGAAGCAGGGGAAGCCCGATTGCCTGGGGTGGAACCAGAGCAGTGGCCATGGCACTGGAGAGGAGCAGGTCGATATGAGACACCTCTGGGGAGAAACTAGAGGACTGAGAATGAGACAGTGGACAGGGTTGAAGCGAGGAAGGAGGAGAGGGTGATGATGGTGGTGGAAGAGACGCGGCTTTGGGGAGATGCTGCCTGTTTGCCCTGGCTGTGCTGTACAGTGACCAAGAGTGTGGACTTTGGAGTCAAACTCTTGCATGGGCTTGCATCTGGACCCTGTCCTGCACTAGCTCCATGACATTGGGAAAGTTACTTATTAAAATCCCACCACCTCCTGGGGTGACTGTGAGAATTAAATGAGATGATATAAAAGCATTTGGCACAGTCTCTGGCTTGTCAGTTTAGGGATTGCAGTTGTGTGCTTTGAGGTGCCACCCTGTGGGAGCTGTTCTGTGGACACAACAAAAAAGCTGGGGAGCACACTGGCCAAGCCACAGGAGCCCAGGGAAGGGGAGCGAGGTGAAGGAGTGAAAGGGGAGGGCCTGAGAGGTCTACTGGAGAAAGACTAGCTGGACCACCCCTGTGGATCAGCCCTGTGTGGTGCTACGGGCAGAGGTAGCTGGTGTGTGTGTGTGTGTGTGTGTGTGTGTGTGTGTGTGTATAACTGCCAGCAAAGATGAAAACTGGGAAGAATAATACATCAAAATCCCCCTACAGGAGCTGACTGACCCCCTGACCCCACTGTTTGCTTGTGGCTTCCTGGACAAGAGTGCGGGCATATGATTGGGCTGTCCCCAGACCTGGGTTCTAGTGCCATTCTGGGGCATCAAAAACCACCCTCCCCAAACTTCTGAGAGTCACTGGGGGGTGGAGAGCTGTTTCTCAGCCCTGCAGGGCAGGGCTGCCACCTGCCATCTGCATCTCTCCTAGCCTCAGTTCACTCAGCCAATCTCAGAAGTCGAGGTCACAATCTCCACAGAAGAGTCGAAAGAGGAACAGAGGAGAGTGGTGGAAGCCGGAACAGCCCTCCCTCACTCTCCCCTGAAGACACTATGAAGATGACAGCCCCCTTTCTTCAGGCTTTTGGATCAGAGAACTCGGAGCTGGAGGTTGAGGGGTGCGGATGGAGAAGAAGGTGATGACAGAGGACAGGAGGAGGGGGGCGCGCCTGGGACTCACAGGAGCTTGTTGCAGACGGGGGGCAAGAATGAAGCCCGGTTCTCCTCCACCCATCTTCTCACTCTCACGGGACGTTCCATGGTTTCTCAAGAGCCGTGCTCTGAGCGGTGTCCCGGAGCCGTCGGAGGGGCGCGTCTCCGTCCAGAAGCCTATTGGCCGCCTTGGTTAATCAGCATCCCGGGGGTCAAAGGGCGGGGCAACACTGGTGTCGGGGCTGGGGACCCGCGCGGAGGCCACTGTCAGCCTTTGGTAGGAGGGCCCCGGCACCGCCCCCCACCCACCGCTTCCCCTCCAGGCACCAGCTGGGCCCTGCCACGCATCTGGTGGCTCCCCGCACACCTGCGCGGGGGTTGGGAGCCTGAGACAGGCGTAAGACACAGGATTGAGAACCTTCCTGGTCCCATGTCCCCAGACATTCCTCCTGGGCCCCAGAGAAATACTGTAATGGAGAGCAGGTGGGTTTGGAAACCCGAGCGCTTGAGTCCAGGGGTGCTGGCACTGGATTGAAGCCTCAATTTCCTCATCTGAGAAATGGGAATGTCGACGCAGCCATCTCAGGGTTGCAGAGCGGCCACCACAGGCCCCGGTTAATGTTACCCTTTGCCCTGCCTGTCACGAGGACGGAGTCAGGCCAGAGCCCTTGGGTTTACTGAGCTCCGCTGGCCCCTGACTTTGGCTGGGTGACGGGAGCGGTTCGGGAAGGACGCGAGGAGAGGCTGTGAGCGCAATGCTGCGGCGGGGCCACCGGCGCACGACAGGGACCCGCCCGGCAGGGCTGGAGGGCACGGTCCCCTCACCTACAGTGGTTGGAGGAGACAGACACGGACAAAAGTGCCAGGCACTGTTCTGAGCTCATTACGTGTCTTAGGGACATACCCAGGTCACACGACAATTCTCTGAGAAGTGTTACAGATGAAGAGCCGAGCCCTCGGTGTCCTAGCTCTCTCGAGCCTCGGGGTCCGGAGGTGGGGAAGGCGGACAAACCTATGCTAATGTGACAGCCCGTGTGAGAGGCTCTAAGCCAGTTACCCTGGGGGCTCAGAAGAGATCTGGCACCTGGGGTGTGGGTGTGAGGGAGAAGCAGCGGGTGGAGTGCGGAGGAAGGGGAAGGACAGTCGACACCTGCTCGCTTGCTTCTCTTTCTTCAGGACTCGGAATTCTTAAGGAAACTGCGTGCGCGTGTTGGAGGGAGGGTGGGGTGGAGAGCTGGTAGGTGGGGGAGAACGAAAATAGCTCAGGCTTGGGCACCAGAATCCTGAGGATAGAGTTCAAGGAATTGGAAACGTCTCCAACTCCTGTTCACCCCCACACCCCAGTACTTCTTGCCCCCTCCCTGCTGCCTGGGGGTAGGTAGGCTGGTGTTCTCAGCAACTCAGACACGGAGACGCCCCCGGGCAAGTCAAAACTCAGGCAGATAGGAACCAAGATTGCCGCCCACCTATGCTGGGACTGACCCTCCTGTTTCCTCTCCACCCCGAGTCCCTTTTCCCCTTTCTCCCTCCTTTTTCTTTTTAGTTATTCATTTAGAGTTTTTTAACTGAGCATTTCTTTCTAGAACATTGTTTGGCATCAAAATAACTCAAACCATATTATGTATCTTTCTCATCTACAAGGAGTCAGTGGAAATCTAAGCAGTGACATATGAAACACCAAGGATCTGTGATGTGTTAGGTTTGGATGTTTGTTAAACCAATGGATGGGTGGGTGGATTGGTGGAGAAAAGCATGAATGAATTCACAGTAAAAGGGGGATAAAAAATGATTTCAGCCCAGCAGATGTTCTGTTACATACTACAAAGGAAAGAATAATAATTACTCTGTGTTTGAATCTATCTAGTCAAATAACATGAATAATTGAGGTCACAGTGAATGTTTGAGGTCTGAATTATCCAGATGAACCCTAAACACGGGCTAAATAATCTGCTGGATAGTCACCGTCAGATCTGCCCTCTGGTTTGTGCTGTGTAAATAAGTCACCTTGTCTATTCAATTGGCAAGCCTCCTAGCTTGGGTGTTGGGCACCATTTGACTGCCTTCTGGGAATATTCTTCTGCCCAATCTTCCAGTTCACTGGTTTTCTATTTAGTTGATGTATTCTATGGTTCAGCTCATCTACTGAGTTTTAAATTTCAATAGTTTCATATTTTTATTTACAAAGTCTTTAATTGGTTCCTTCCTACAACTGGCTTTCTTCTTTTCATGGACAGGATACATTCCCTTATTTCTTCAAGGAAACTGTTCAAAACTGTAAACTATCAGTGAAGATAATAGTAGCTGCTGTAACGGGGGGGGGGGGGAACCCACCCCAAACTTAATGGTTTAACACAATGGAAGTTCACTTCTCATCCCTATGACGTGCAGTGGGGAGACAGCACTCCCCCTCACACATAAGGACCTAATTGGACAGAAGTTGACACAGGATCTTGTCTCCTTCATCATGTAACTTTTAGTATTACCCTGGGCATTGAAATCTAGCCAGCAGAAAGAGGAAAAGGGAGAGTGGAGGTACTTATAGGCCAGATCTGGCTAGAAGTGGTGTACACACTTCTGTTCACATCCCCACTAGCTGGAACTGAAACTGAGTCAGTGGTCTCACCTAACCTCAAGGGAGTCTGGGTAAAGTCCTGACTCGTCTCTCTTTGCTGATATTGGTTTTCCTCAAATGTTTAGTGATCCTTGTGCAAAGTCATCTTTATGGTGGACATTCTTTGTTAGGCTGTCTCTGCGGAGCCCACTGAGGTGAAGAAGCAAAAGTCGCGCTCTGTGCTATTTTCAGAGTAAGGGTAGGCAAGACCTGCCACTAGGTAGGATATCTCAGCAGCTGGTCTTCTGGGCTTGGGCACTCCCGGTTTCTCCTGAGTGATCCTAGCCGCCCTAGGTATTGCCTTGTCTTTCTGCCCTAAATGCCCACATTCATTGCTCCTTCCCACCTGGAGCAGACATCCCATCACAGTTTCCTGGGCTATGACAGGGATGCATGGTCAATGTACTGCCTGCTGCTGCTTCAGTGCCCCATCTAATTGCCTTCTTTGAGTCATCCCTTGCAGGTTCAGCTCCAGGTCTATTGAGATTCCCTCTTCCTGTGTTTTAGCGTATTTATGTATTTATTTGTTTTGTGTTTATATCTTTTGTTTTCTGGATTTGGTGTTTAACATTTCAAAAAGCCACCAGCCTGTTTCCCAAAGTGGCTGCACCACTTTATATTCCCACCAGCAATGGGTGAAGGTTTTTATTTCTCCACATCGTCACTGTGGTTTGCTCCTGTCTGTCTGTTTGGCCCCGGCACTCTTATACTCTCAGTCCCATGCTTACGTCTCTGGGAGCTCGGTGGAAACTGTTGAGGAACTCTTGACACTTGGACCTGCTGCTGCTTACCACTGCTTTCCTTAGCCAGTTCCCTCTTCAAGTAACCACTGAGGAAAAATTTCTCCCTTGGATCAGAGTGTGGTGCGAGGTCTGAGGAGCCTAACGAACTGTGACAACAATAGCAGGAACGCCCTCTCTGGTTACCGCTTACTGAATGATTACTACATGGCAGACGCTGTGCTAATCCCCGTACATTCTCTCATTTAATCTCCACATACAGATTAGAAAACTGAAACCCAAGCTCAGAGTAGTAACAAGCCCCCACAAAGGCCCACACCGGGTAAGTAGAGGTACCAATATGAAGAACCTGTGCCCAACTGGCATCGAGGCCTGTGCTTTTCCCACCGTGACATAATGTGTCTTCTTAAAGAGTCTGCTCTTGATTGCCTCCAGGGGCTGCAGTGTATGGCGGTGTTGGGGACCTAGAGATTTGGTTCTAAAGTTAGTGAAACAAAAGTTCAGTATAGCAAAAAATCAAATCAGAACATTCTTTATATCACGTACAAAGTACAGTCTGCAGTAATTCTCAGACACGAAAGCTTAGGAACCAGAGCTAAACCCTCCAAAGGAAGTAATAAAGAGAAAATCTATATGGCAGGTGCTTGGACATTTGGTCTGGTCTGCTTGTAAGATACCTCGCACATTTCTGGGTGAATAGAAGATGGGTAGGTTATTCTCAAAACATCCCTCTTTGCCTGCAGGGTGGCTGCATTCTGTATGATCTTCAGCCCTTTGTGCCAGTAATTAAGTTACTGCCTTTAAGCTGGAAACTCACTTTCTATGCGCTGCATTGTGATGCAAGACCTGGGATCATGCAAACTCCATTTATGACTACCAGCTGGTTCTATCAGGCCTGGTAAAATGGAGGGAATAGAGGGAGACTGCAAGGTCAGAAGAGAAGAAATTGCTCCATCCTGACTGCTTCCTGTCTGCCCTGTCTGCCTGTGGTTCCTGGGCTTATCATCTCGGTTCCTTCTCTTAGTGATTTCTAAATCCAATTTGCGGAATCAGCTTTAAAGTGACACCAGCAGAGATACTAATACCAGAAGCTGGTGTGCCCTCTCAGCGGCTGGGTTTCAATTTCACAGTCTTCCTATGACTAAAACTTCCAAGTTTTAGTAATTCAATTTCTTCATAGGTTCCCTCAGCCAGAGGGGTTGTAGCAGCTTCTTACCATTGTTAGTTCTGTGATACTGCAGAATTCTTTTCTTTTTTCTTTTTTGACTTTTCAGTTACTTAGTTAATAACTTTACACCTAGCTAACAGCTCTCTGGATTACATTCTTTTTGTTAAATAGTGGGTATGGTTTCTGTTTCCTGACTAATATACTTTTATAAGCTTAATTCTGTGTTACAAGATTTGTTTATGGTTATGATGTGTAACTCAGGGAGGGTTAGGTTCTAAGACCGGGACATCGGATGATAAGATCATTTGGCCCGCCAATATGCTGCCTCTGTAATGTGATCAAAAGTGGCTGTTGGCCCTGGGATGGAGCCAGCAACCTCAGCCAAGACCCTGCTGGATGGACAGGGCAGGGTAGGGCAGCTGAAGAGAAAGCCCCTCATCTGCACTAGGGTAACTGTCAGCTTTTCAGGGCTCTCTGCAAATAGAACAGGAAGCTGATGTCCCCCTGTCACCTCACAGATGGAAGGACCTTGGGGAGAGACATTGGCAGAACAGCTCTGCTATGAGCTTTCAGTGTAGCTGATATATCAACTACATTTTCATTTTCTCTGGCTCCAGGGCAGTGTGGGCTCTCCCTCCTCCACCCAACCCCTTCCTTTCCT